GAAGAGATGCATGCCCACTATTTGTTCTTGCTTGCCTCTCAAGAACACTGAGCACTGAGGTGTGAAATTCGATTGTCAGGGCCCACAGCCAGCGGCTTTCCGAGCTCTGGAACGGATGATGGAAGCCACTTGCCACTGGGAAGCTGGGGAAAGCACTCCGGTTTTCCGGCGATGGACTTTCGTCCCTTACCAGATGCAATTCCTCGACTGCTTCCAGCCCAGGGAACAATTTTTCTGTTCCATCGTGAGTGGATCCTACCAGTCGCTGCCAGACAAAGCTTAGCTCGCCCCATGCTGCTGTTACCCCCAGGCACAGTTCTAGCGTTGCCATGTTGCCATCAAACCCCAATGAAGACCCTGTCAAGGGCATGGATGGCAGAGGATGTGGACCTGGGATGCCGCAGCAGCAGCTGTTGAAGGTGAATTTGGGCGCGCCGTGGTCTGGTTACCACTCCACTAGAGGCTGTCCGTAACGCCCGCAGTCCGCTGCACCATCCTTCTTGCTCCAGTGTCCCTTTCTAATTAAAAACAGAAAAAAAGGCGAGGGAAAAAAATGGGAACGGACGCCTCCGGGTTGTTGACCCCCGTCACACAATAAAGATCCCAAACACGGCCTTCCTTCTTTCTTCCCAGACTGCTGGTCTTGTTGTCAGCTTCTTTGCTCTTTTTTCCTTCGAGGAACCAGGAGCCAGGAGCCAGGAGCCAAGAGCCAAGAGCCTCGGGCATTGGCATTGGCATCGACGCCGGCAGTCAGCAGCAGCAGCAGTTAGCAGCAGTAGCAGCAGTAGCAGCAGCAGCCGCCAGTTGCGAGTAGCACCGGGCAGTGGCATTCAATCCGTGTCTTGGACGATTGTCTGCAATCGCCCATTTCGCAGTGCAGCAGCACCTCACCCATCGGATGCCTCTTCGGTGCGCCCACTCGCCTTCTGAACTCTGGGCTCATCCGATCGAACCTTCCTCACCTACCTTGTCTACCTACCTTTGCCTCGACTCTTCTTTTCCATCCCGACTTTTTACCCAATTCGCCCCTACCATACCTACCTCCTGCTTTATGTACACGGACTCCGCCTATGTCACGCTTACCACGACCGGCTGCCACTACCCCATCCCAATCGCCGCGCACCAATCGATCATAATGAATTCCAGCTCAGCCGTCATCCAATCCTTATAACAAGGACGGTTAGACTGAAGCATCACAGCCACAAGCGCCAAGACCTGGCACATTCGCCAGCACCAGCACCCACGCCCACTACCAACACTGCCATACTCATACAAATCCCCCAGCTGATGTCTCGACCGGCTTGCCTCTAGGCCACTTTGTTTTCTCCCTCCTCTCATCACACACTCCGCAAATCCTCGAGATCATCGTCGCGACTCGAGAGAAATGCTCGACGACGCGCGTGGCTGGCTGCTCGCCCAGCTCCGGGCAGCCAAGCCTTCCTTTATATCCAAGAAGCCCCATTTCAACTTCATCTCGGCTCACTGTAAGTCGCCGTCCCAACTACCGTCGCATTTCCCATCGCCGTCTGCGCATTGCGCTAATTGCACCACGCTTCCACTTTAGACTTCTGGATCTGTGGCCTCACCATCCTCGGCTCTATTCTGATTTACGCCACTGCCGGCGGCCAGATGGCATATGTTGACGCTCTGTTCTTTGCCAGCGGAGCCAACACACAAGCCGGCCTCAACACCATTGATGTAAATCTGCTGAACACTTTCCAGCAAATATGCATCTACATCTTTGCCATGACCTCCAACCCCATCACCATTCATTCCTCCGTCGTGTTCCTTCGGCTCTACTGGTTCGAGAAGCGATTCCAGACCGTCGTCCGCGAGGCTCGCCAGCGGAGAAACACCATATCCAAATCCATGTCCAGAGCCAGGGGAGATGAATTGAACCAGGCAGAGAGAGGCCGTGGCCTGAGTGTACGGAACATCCAGGTTATCCATAGGAGGAGGGGTCGGATGACCAACGACGGCATCGTGTACGATATGAAGGACGACGAGGACGGTCGCATTTCGCCCGGCAGCAACGGCTTTGTCCCAATTCCCGGAACCCCAGCCCATCGTTCTTCAGGCGAGCAGACTCCCAATACCGCCCCGGGGTCCCAAGATGATGCCAACGACATCGATGCATCACAAAACCGAATTACCTTCGCCCGAAATGTTTTCAGGAGTGATGGAACTGAGCCGGAAGTCAAGCTCCCGTCGCCATCGTCTCCTGCGCACTTGGCCATCCTTGAGCGACAACGCAACGATCAAAATGGGGAGACCCTCCGAATTCCCAACCCTAGAGACGTTGAGAAGGGTATAGAGCCCAAGCGTGTTGAACACGGCGATGCTCCAGAACCGGAGGACGACAGAGACCACAATCACGACCATTCCGCTGCCAGCGGAGCGAATGGTATGGCCAACGATGTCGGCAATGCTGGACGCCGACAGACAATCAAGATCGAAGAGCCGGAGCGGCCACGAGACCAACACGACCCCCCTGTCAAGGATGAGCTTGCAGATGAAGCCGAGGCTATCGGCAGAGCCATTTTCCCTTTCACGTTCCGCAGGTATCGTAAGAAGCAACCGCAGGATGATGGCACATCAGAAAACGCTTTGACGAGAGTCCGAAGCCGCGTCGATACGTTCCGATCCGCCCTGTCACGCGACAAGCAAGACGACATGCCCTACCTTAGTTTCACGCCCACCTTGGGTAGAAACTCTGCCTTCCCTGGCCTGACACAGGACCAGCGTGAGGAACTAGGAGGAATCGAGTACCGGTCGTTGAGGACACTTGCTGTCATTCTACTCTGTTATTTCTGGGGCTTCTCGCTTTTTGCTGTCGCATGCTTCCTTCCATGGGTTCACACTAGCTCGAACGATAAATACGGGAACTACATCGAGTCCATCGGCGTCAGCAAGGCCTGGTGGGCCGTCTTCACCGCAAACTCGGCTCTCAACGATTTGGGTTTCACCCTGACCCCGGACAGCATGACCTCTTTTCATGATGTGCCTTTTATTCTGTTGATCATGTCGTTCCTCATCATAATTGGCAACACTGGCTTCCCTGTCATGCTCCGGTTTGTCATCTGGGTCCTGTCAAAGATCGTCCCTAAGGGAGGTCTCCATCAGGAGCTCAGATTCTTGTTGGATCACCCCCGTCGCTGCTTCACCTTGCTATTTCCAGCAGGTGCAACTTGGTGGCTGTTGACTATTCTCATCGGCCTCAATGTCCTCGATTTGTTGTTCTTCGTTCTTCTCGACGTAGGTACTCGATTTCACTCACAAAGCAAACACCGCTAACTTATAATTTAGCTCAAAGACAATGCTGTTAGCCATCTGCCAGTTGGCATCCGCATCGTCGACGGCCTGTTCCAAGCGGCATCGACCAGAACCGCAGGTTTCTCTGTGGTCAACATTTCACTTTTGCACCCTGCTGTCCAGGTTTCGTACATGATCATGATGTACATTTCAGTCTTCCCCATTGCCATCTCCATTCGTCGCACCAACGTTTACGAGGAGAAATCACTTGGCGTATACCATCACCCCGACGAAGACGTCGACGCTGCGAATGAGAACAGCGCCATGTCTTACGTAGGAACCCATTTGCGTCGACAACTTTCCTTCGATTTATGGTACGTGTTCTTGGGGCTCTTCATTTTGGCCATCACCGAAGGACCTCGTATTCAGCAGAAGGACTTCGATGTCTTTTCTGTGCTGTTCGAGATAGTGAGTGCCTACGGTACCGTTGGACTGAGTCTCGGCTATCCCAACGTCAACGCATCTCTCTGCTCGCAGTTCACCACCGGAGGCAAGCTTATCATCATTGCCATGCAAATCCGTGGAAGACACCGTGGTTTGCCTTACGGCCTCGATCGCGCTGTGCTCCTTCCGAGCGAGTCGCGCTTTGAAAAGGAGGCTGAAGAGGCGCCGTTGCCAGTACTAGCACGATCTGCTACGGGCGCATCAACCGGAACAGCCGTGAGCGCCAGTCGATCTCATCTGAGATCGAGAAGGCAGAGCACCAACCGCGGAAACATCAACATCTTGACTCAATTCTTGCACCCTGGTCCTCCCATGGTCCCGCACGCGGACAGTTTTACGTCCCGACGCAGCAGGTCTTTCGAGGTCGGCGACCACCATCTGCCAATAGCAGAGGAGATGAGGAGGCGTGCCACAGAGCCGACCGAGGATGATAGCACGTCTACTGACTCTGAGGTTATGAACACGACTCGAAGAGTTAACACCACACCAGCGCGCTAGACGCTGCAGCAATTGGTCATCCCGAAACCATCAACACCTGATGAGCAAAACAATGAGCGAGCCTTTTACGGAGTTATGCACGATATTGGCATGTGTGCGGAGTTACTGGTTCGAAAATACATATTTGGTGCGGCAGTCATTCTTTTCTGAAGACAGGACGAAATAGACAAGCTCAAGCTACGGACATACCTCGTGAGTTGGCGTTGGGAAATTCCTGTACATTCTTAGGATTCTGTACAATTATGATGACTGATGAACGGAAGTTTCTATTTTCATGTCTGCAATGGTTATTCATGTGGTGATGTGCTGTCTGTCAGCATGGTGACCAAGGCTTAGACACAGTCAAAGCACTGGGACTCCTTTCAACCCCCTCAATCCTGATTGCTCCATCTCTAGAGGGCCCCATTACGACACTCGCCATTCTTCCTTGTTCTATAAATTCAGTAACCTTTCTTTAATTTTCAAGCCTTTTGGCATGTGCCTGCGTCAGCATTGCCTCCAGAACCCAAGCCTCTGCGCCTGTCTTAATCTTAGACCTCTGATTGTCCTCACGGTACTCATCTTGATTCATAATCCGTTGAGTGTAAGAGATCTTTTTGTGTTCATGTACAAGGCTCTTGGGTCCGTGTTGTACAACCCACCAGTTTTCTAATCGTACATCACCCTTCGAGGCCGTTACGGCCAAGATAATGTCAAAGCCTCCCCCACCACGCCTTCTCTGGAACAACCGAGAGCTCTCAAAGTCATCACTTCTGCTCCTTCTCGAACCTCGAACCAACCTGTCCCTTCGCCCTCGCACGCATGCCGTATCTCTCCTTCTTCCAAGCATAGACGAGGTGATCGACGTTGCCCATGTCATGCTTCGGCTTGCGCATGTACGTGAGACGAGCACGCCTCGCGCGCTTGGGCCTGCGCCAGACGATATCGATACCGATGACGGTGGGCGAGTAGATCTTGTACCACATTTCGACGCCGACCTTCATCAGCTGCGAGCGCACGAGGATGGCCGTGTCGACGCCGCGGCGGCGGATGCTGATGCACACGCCGGAGAAGGGCTCGCCGGATTTCGTGGTGACCATGAGGACGTCGCCGACCTTGGCGGCGTCGGGCCGGGTGATGTCGAAGAGGCGGGTTCGGGCGCCGGTCGGGTCGAGGGTCGCGCGCTGCTTGGCGTCGAGCTCGGGCATGGGGTTCTTGTGGGTGGAGCGGATGGTTTCGACTTGCGGCCAGACGTAGAACAAGGGCTTGCCTTCGGGTCGGACTGGGTGCTGTCTTAGCAAATCCGTCTTTGTGAGTGTATCGTGAGAAATGCTTACATCTTGCCGGCTTGGGGAGTTTGAAGGGTGGTTGTGCCCGAGCAGAGCCTTTTGGTGGTGCTTTAGGCTTCTCGACGGCGGTGGCCATGGACCGGGTGAGCAGTCTCTGGTGGCGCGTCTGACGGAGCGCTGTCTTCAGACAGCCCACAGGCCGTCTGAGTAGACAGTTTGCGTTCATTTTGATGTGTAGTGGGCGATTTGGACCCGAAAGGCGTTGCCGTCGACCGAGGCGCAGGGTAGCTTTCGTAGGAGAGAATCCAAAAAGTCGATGTTCGGAATGCCAATTGCGGGCTGTGATTGGCTCGGTGCATCAATGATGCGGAGCCGGGCGCGATCGCTGCACCGTTCTTGCATCTCCAAATTTTTGGAGGGGACCCTGTACTACCCGTAGCTCCCTCGTCGGATGTCTCGATAGTCTCGACAACAACCCACGCCACATACGGAGACCATGTCCAGGAGTTTAGTTGGAAGGGCCCTGAGGGCAAAGCCGTCGGTATGGGAGCAGCCGGCGGGCTGTATCGCGCAGCAGCAACGGAGCTTCAGCCAAACACCAGCCCACCAAAGTACGTTCCGTGATCAACGTTTATACCGAAGATGCTAACCAGGTGGTGGTAGACAATAACCAAGTCATCTTTGACAAGACCTCGAACCCCGGCCTCGCTCCGATCCTCGAAGAGATCCAGTCCAACATCATCCTCCCCTTCCACCTCCCCATCCACCAGCGCCAGCGTGTGTTCTCCCCGAAGATGAAGAACTCCCTCCGCACCGACCCCGTCTACGTCGAGGTCGACGGCCACGAGCACAAGTTTACCCACATCGACCAGGATGCCCTGCCGCCCTCACGCGAGATCACCTGGAAGGCTCTGCGTGAGATGCAGACTGCCGAGGACTGGAACAACTTTGGCCGCCTGCTAGCGGGCATGCGCATCGCGGGGCGCCGGTACAGCCAGGTCGACTTCGCCAAGATGGTCCGCCTGGCGGGCTCCAAGGGGCAGATCTTCACCATCATCGAGGCGGCGCGGCAGGTGCGCAAGACCGGCTTCAAGCTGGACACGTCGGAGAAGGTCAACGAGACGCTACACTACGTGCAGATGCGCGCGGCCCAGAGCGGGTGGGACAAGGAGTTGACGGAGCAGAGCCTGCGGTGGGCGGAGATGGTGATTGAGATGATCGAGGACGACAAGCACAAGCTCAAGCACGACCCGACGGTCAAGCGCGGGCAGCAGGTCCGCTGGCCGCTGCACAAGGACCCCCAGGTTCTGGGCGCGGCGCTGCACCTGGCTGCCGTGCTGGCTGTGAAGCACAACGAGGGCAAGGACGTCGACGGCAAGGTTACGCTGTACGCGAAACAGGTTGTGGAGAGGTGGCCCGCGGACAAGGGCTTGAAGAAGTTGCACCCGAGGGAGGCCTACAAGAACTACCAGACCGGTGTCGCGTACCTGGCCTCGAGCAGGACGCAGTACCTGGCCACCGCCAGCCCTGTCCTGCACGGTCTGTTCCTCGCTGCCCGCGTGGTGGATCAGCCTACGGCGGAGAAATTGCAGGCAATCGCTGCGACGCTCGGCGCCGAGGTGAAGCAGGCGGTCGACAGCGAAAGCACTCCTGCCGAGCGCGGCTTGTCAACCTACAACACCCTCTTTGAGTCCAAGGCGTAGGGGACAATCGGGACATATGAAGGGAGGGCATGACTAATGCGAGAAAAATGGAGGCGGAGGATGGCATAAAGAAAAGAATCAGACGACGCTCCAAGAGGCAGGCGGGGGCTATGTACAGCTGATATGTAAGATTATCTATGTATACAAGCATCAAAGGCACACACCCAAAAGAGACGGCCGACTACGGCAAGACAATGTACTTTTCCAGATGCTTCGGTATCGCGCCCAGGAGCTTCTTCTCGCCCAGCCACTTGCGCGAGAACAACCTCTCGGCGTAGCGGTATGCGCCGTCGCAGAGGATTGTGACGACGGTGTGTCCCTTGCCGAGCTTCTCAGCAACCTCCTTGGCGGCCACGACGTTGAGTGCCGAGCTGGCGCCCAGGTACAGACCCTCCTCGTCGAGGCAGCGGTACACCATCTCGATGCTCTTCTCGTCGGCGATAGTCAGGGAGCCGTCGACGAGCCCGATATCGGGCGCCAGGTTGTCCGTGATGCGGCCCTGGCCGATGCCCTCGGTGATGCTGGACCCCGTGCGCTCGACCAGCTTGCCACCGGAGCTCACGTACGAGTGCAGCACGCTGCCGGGCGGGTCGGCGAGGAATGACTTGACGCGGCCGCCGCTCTTGTCCTTGAGGAAGCGCGTGATGCCCGCGAGCGTGCCGGCGGTGCCCGTGGCGCACGTGAAGGCGTCGACCTTGCCCTGCGTCTGCTCCCAGATCTCGGGGCCCGTGGTCTCGATGTGCGCGCGGCGGTTGGCCGTGTTGTCGAACTGGTTCGTCCAGACGGCGTTGTCGAGGCGCTCGGCGTGGCGGCGGGCCTGATGGTTGTAGTTCTCGGGGTTCTCGAAGGCGACGGCCGGCACGGGGTAGACCTCGGCGCCGAGCAGCCTCAGCAGATCGATCTTGCCCTGGGACTGGGTGTTGGGCATGTAGATGACGAGCTTGTAGCCCTTGGAGCGGCAGACGTGCGCGAGGCCGATGCCGGTGTTGCCCGCGGTGCCCTCGACGACGGTGCCGCCCGGCTTGAGGAGGCCGCGCTCCTCGGCGTCCTTGACGACATAGAGGGCGGCGCGGTCCTTGACGGAGCCGCCTGGGTTCATGAACTCGGCCTTGCCGAGGACTTCGCAGCCGGTCTCGGCGGAGAGCTTGTTGAGGCGGATGAGGGGGGTATTGCCGATGGCTGGAGGGGAAGCCGCGTGGTTAGCGTGCTGTCAATTGAGGAGGAGAGGAGGAAGGGAGTGAGGACGTACCGCCGGTGAGGCCCTTGACGACGCCCTGCGCCTTGGAGAGGTTGAGGGAGTAGGCGCTGGGAGGGTCAATGGCGCGGACGGCCGTCGTCGCGAAGCGACGGACACCGAGACGGTTCATGGTGTCTGTATCTCGAAGAGTCAATCACTCCAAGATTCAGAATCACAGCCCGGGGAACAGCTGTGCAGTGCGATCGGTCGACTTGCGACTTGGGAGGTTGGCGGTTTCTAGGTATGTTGAAGAACCTCCGGCGTTCGGCTTTCTAAGCTGGGTGACAAGGGGTGGTCCCTCCCGTGGTGGGGTTCAATTGGGTTCTGCGTGCCGCTAAAAAAAATCACGTCAGAGCTTGAGGCGGCCGTGGTGGGGTCGCTGAAGAACGGCGCGGGGCCGCGGGACGGCAGTCGGGGGAGCCGGCCGATCATCCCGTACCGACGAGACCGGTCCGAATTTAGGTGAAATAGATGCTTAGAATTGTGTTGCGCGCCTCGGGATACGTTTTGCAAATTTCATCGAACAAGGCCGGTTCGGAAATAATGTTGAACACGGGACAATTAACAGCCAATGCGTACGACGTGCATTTTTGACGTGGACTAAAAGTCCCTTTTCAATTCTAACAGCGAACGCACACTGCTTGATCCAGGACTTCTGGGAGCATTTCTATTTCCTCACAGAAACTTGTGCTGACCCTGACGCCATTTAAGACAGAGACACTTCCCGTTCTCAGTCACGACCGCACCAGGCAAATTGCGACGGTTAAGTTCAATTAGCTTGTAGATATTTTGTTACTACCATGCAAGCGCAAACTCTTTTTCAATAATTGGATTGTCTTGTCTCATTGGTGTGGTGCCTGAAATATCTGTCAAATTGCATTCTTACTGTTTTTTTGTACCCATCCAAATGATCGTTGTCGTCGTTATACTTATGAGACTTTTGGAATAAGCAGTCCCTAGGACAGCGATAGGGCTACGAAGATGCTAAGGCTTGGACACAGACCATTCTTTTATACCAGGGCCACCACTTCATTCCCTAGCGTTTCTGCAATATTTCCCTAGTCGAGCCATACAAAATAGATCGATTTGGGTGTGGGTACCCATAGTACGGATACCCATGGATATGGACATGTCTCCGGTATAAATTTGGTTTGCGCATGGGCATGCGTATGGTATCGATTGGATATCCGGGAGATATCCATATGGTTATCCATGGGATCTGGATACCCATGGGTATAGATACGGTCTGGATATCCGTGGGTGTGGATATGGATATGGACACACATCGGATGTCCGTGGGTACGGGTAAGGGTATGGCCTGGGTGTAGCGATGATTTGAATATCCGTGGGTATGGATTCTATGGGTATGGATACCCATGGGTACGGACATTGTTTATACATCGGTGAAGACAACCACATGGGTAATGGACGATGGTTATGGGTACCCACGGGGACGGATATATTCTAGATGTGGATGTGGTTTAGATGTGGGAATGTTTTGGATACCTATGGGTATGATTTGGGTACGGGTACGGATTGGATATCTGTGGGTATGATCTGGGGATGGGTATAGGTATGATTTGGTCTGGATATCCGTGTTGTACGGGTTCTATGAATATGAAGACCCATTGAATACCCGTTGGATACCCATGGGTAGGGATAAAGTTTGAGAATGGGTACCCATCTGGATATTTATGGGTAATGGGTAATTGGTAATGCTATGGATCATGAGATTTTTACTGCAGCACATCTAACATACAGCGTTCCTGAGGAGTCCTCTACATTAGACACGTTAGAGGGTCACTTGACCAACACACAAAGTTAGTGCTGACTGACTTAGCAGCGACCATTTGTCTCTCTGAAGTTGGCTGACCAGAAGCATCAATCTCGTCATCTCCCGTTAAGGGAGTATTAGAAGTAAGGACGTAGCGGTCGAATGCATACTTCAGTCTTCTTGACTTCCTTCCCTATTTCGCATGTCCTCCTCCATTTTGGACTTCTCTAGGTTATTCAGCTGCCTCATTTAAACTTCTGAGCTAAGTTTTGTTCATATTGATAGATTGGATATCCATTTCACCTATATAGAGAAAATGGTGGCGTCCACAGGACATGTGCCACTTTTGATACTCCCGGCCGTTTCATTCATCACAGCGCCTCATTATACAATCATTCTCTTGCTTTCACCAACCGCCACAGTCTTCTCAGTGCTGCTCCAAGTTCCTCACATACGGCGAAGGGAAGAGCCCCTTGGCGCCCATGTAGACCCCAAAGAACCAGTCCCCATTA